CATGGCAAGGTTTTTAGACGAGTAAATTTATAATGCTGTGGCTTGCTATTACTTTTGTGAGGGATATAATTTAGGTTTTTAATTTTTTATGAAGGATGTAATTAAGGCATTTATCATGCTTTTGCTGTTTTGGTTGCTTTATGCCTCCTTTTTGGATTCGTAGAATAATTGTATTGATTCTGCCGCTTAGATTGTGATATCTAGTTGTATTAGTACTTCCATAGGAGGATAGTTGTCGCCATTAATTTAGATATCACCATTAAGTTGGTTGGGATTGTTTTCCTTAATGAAATTATTTGGAAGCCTCTTAGGCTCTTAGCTTGTTGTCATTATTTATTTTGGGCGTTTTTGTTACATTGCATTTGGGAATTTAAGCAAAGGGAGTTGTTTATCTTGTTCATGAAGGAATATTGGGTTAATTGGAGGAAATGGAACTGTTTCTTGTGGTCTTTTAGCTCCTTGCTGAAATGTAATGTTCTCCATTGCAATTTTTCATGGCAAGTTTTTTTAGTTTTTGAATTATGCCCCTAGTGTTCAGAGACTGGGTTGGGCTCTTGGGTACTTTTTCCTTTAGTCTTTGGTTTTTGTTTCACTGAAGGAAGTTGGGAATGGAATGAAAAGAAACTCTTGTGCTCCTTTACATTCATCTTAGTTGGGGAAAACATTTTAAGGTCTTTCTCTGCCTTTTAATAGCATTGATAACCAAGGCTTTTGCTGAGTTATGCTCTCAGGCTACCCACTGCCCCGTTTCAATATGATAAAACCTTAATTCTGCTATCTTAAGTACTTGTCCTTTTGATGCTCTATGAATGCTGTTTAGTTTATTGGTCTACTCTATTATTGGATATAATATTTCTACTGATCAAGCTTAGGATGTGTCCCTTTTAAGAGGCTTTTTATGTTTAATATGCTTTTAGAGTACAGTTTGTTGTTTTGATTTCCGATTGGATGCTTAGGATGTGTCCCTTTTAAGAGGCTTTTTATGTTTAATATGCTTTTAGAGTACAGTTTGTTGTTTAGATTTCCGATTGGATGCTTTGACGATGGTTTGGTCATTGTTAGTTTCTTATAGTATAATTTGCGAAATGCTAGTCTGGTTATCCTTATCTTGTTCTTGCTGTTGGTGTGCTTTTGTATTTTCGCTAATTTTATGCTGTTTGCAAGTGTTGGTTTTTGTTCTTCTACTTGTGAGTGTTGTCTCCCTTGCTGTTTGTAGAATGAGCATTTTAAATGCTTTTGCATGCTTTTGCTTTTAGGTGGGACATAATTAAGGCTTATAGTTAAATTTGCTTGTCTAATTGTATAATGTCTCCTTTTGGATTCTTAGAAAAATCCTATTGATTCTGCCGTTTTGATTGTGTTTATTAGCTGTATCCATTCTTCCATAGGAGGTAAGCTGTCACTTAGTTATCACCATTTATTTGGTCTGGATTGTTTTCCCTTATGAAATTATTGTGCTATTGGGATGCTTAGCCTGTCATTGCTAATTATGTTTGGGTGTTTATGTTACACGGCATTAGGAGAATTAAGCAAGGGGATTTGTTGTTTATGAAGGAAAATTGGGTTTACTGGAGGGGGAATTGTTTTTTGTGGTCATTTTGGTATGTGTTGAAGTGTGCCTGTGTGGTGTTCTCCATCACAATCTTTTATGGCAAGGTTTGTAGACGAGTACATTTCTAATGCTGTGGCTTGCTTTTACATTTGTGAGGGATATAATTAAGGCTTTTAATTTTTTATTATTAAAGATGTATTAAGGCATTTGTCATTTATGATAAAGGCTTTTGCTGTTCTGGTTGCTTAAAGCCTCCTTTTGGATTTGTAGAATAATTATATACTAATTCTGCCGCTTTGATTGTGATATCTAGTTGTATTCGTACTTCCATAGGAGAATAGTTGTCACCATTAATTTAGTTATCACCATTAAGTTGGTTGGGAATCTTGGGATTGTTTCCCTTAATGAAAATATTGTGCTGTTGGAAGCCTCTTAGGCTCTTAGCTTGTCATTGTTAATTATTTTGGGAGTTTTTGTTTCATGGCATTTGGGGATTTAAGCAAGGGGAATTGTTTATCTGGTTCATGAAGGAATATTGGGTGATTGGAGGAAATGGAACTGTTTCTTGTGGTCTTTTAGTTCCTTGTTGAAGGGTAATGTTATCTGTCACAACCTTTCATGGCAAGGTTTTTTAGTTTTTGAATTATGTTCCTTGTCTTTAGAGACCGGGTTGGGTTCTTGGGTACTTTTTCCTTTAGTTTTTGATTTTTGGTTCACTTAAGGAGGCTGGGAATGGAAAGAGAAGAAACTCTTGTGCTACTTTACATTCATCTTAGTTGCGGAAAACATCAACAAGGCGTTTGCTTAGTTATACTCTCAGGCTACCCACTGCCCTGTTTTGATATGATAAAATACACCTTAATTCTGCCATTGTAAGGTACTTGTCCTTTTGATGCTCTATGAATGCTGTTTGGTTTGTTGGTCTACTCGATTCTTGGAGATGATTTTTCTCCTAATCAAGCTTAGGATTTTTTATGTTTAGGATGTTTTTAGGGTTTTAGTTGTTTGTTTAGATTTATAGATCATATCTTGAGATGCTTTGACTATGGTTTGTCTATTGTTAGTTTCTTATAGTGTAAAATGCTTATTGCTAGTGTTGTTATTCTTACCATGCTTTTGCTGTTATGGAGCTTTTTATTTTCACTAAGCTTATGCTCTTTGCAGGTATAGATCTTGGTTCTTGTTCTTCTACTTGTGAGTATTGTGTGCCTCGCTGAGTATGTTTTTAATGCCGTTGCTTGGTTTTGCTTTTGGGTGGGATATAACTAAGGCTTTAAGTTAATTTTGCTCTTCTGGATTCTTAGATTATCATATTGATTGTGCCGCTTTGATTGTGTTTTCTATCTGTATCTGTACTTGCATAGGAGGATAGTTGTCACTTAACACCATTAATTTGGTTTTGATTGACTCTTAGCTTGTCATCATTAAATATGTTCAGGTGTTTTTGTTACATGGCATTTAAGGATTTAAGCAAGGGGAGTTTGGTGCCCTTGTTCATGATGGAATCATGGAATATTGGGTTTATCGGAGGGATTTGAATTGTTTCTTGTGGTCATTTAGTTCCTTGTTGAAATGTGATGTTCTCTGTCACAATCTTTAATGGCAATGTTGTTAGTTTCTGAATTATGTTCCTGGTCTTTTGAGACAAGATTGGGTCCTTGTTAGTTTTTGGCTTTTGTTTTACTGATGAGGGTTGGGAAGGGGATTAGAGAGGTCAATATATCCAAACGCTTTTGTGTCTGAAGGTCTTTGATGTATAATGCTGCTTTAAATTCATCATAGCTGTGGAAATAAAATCAAGGTGTTTCTTGGCCTTTCAACAGTATTGATTTGTATTAAAAGTTACCCTTTGGCCTTTGCTCATATTGCTTTGATGCTTGTGATAACCAAGGCTTTTGCTTATTCGTGCTCTTTTAACTTCTGCCCTTTTCAATATGATAATATCTGCCTTCATTCTGCCATTGTAAGGTACCTGTCTTTTTGATGCTTCCATGAATGTTGCTTGGTCTGTCGGTTTATCTGTGCCTCTTAGTTTGTCATTTGTTGATAATTTAGCTTTTATTCTTTGCATATTATTCTGAAAGCGTGACAACGAGACTTAAGTGTACACAGTATTTTCTAAGATTGTAGCAGTTGGAAGTCGAGGACTAGAAGATATTGTGCTGGGATGAATACTATACTGGAGGCAGATAGAGAGGCTTTAATGCTTTATTGATGGATGTTGAACTGCCATTGTTTTGAGGTCTATATGTTCTCCCTGTCAAGTTTCAGTAATAGGGCCTAGTTTCCGCATACTTTTAAATTTTTTATTTATTTTTGGCGGGAACCTTCTGCTATAAATTTGATCTTTGTTTTCTCATTGATGGGAAGTTGGGGATGTGAGGGGTCACTTTTGTTTAGCAATCTCTGTTGTCAAGGGGCATCTCAAGTGAATTATTCGCTTGATTTGCACTTTGTTTTACTTGGTGTATTATTGCTACTTACACATTCATCTTTGTTGTCTCCAAGTAATTCATCGACTCATCGTCGCTTCTTTACTTCTCTAATACCTCTCTTATTCCTGTCAAAGCAATATGAAATATTATTTTGCTTTTAACTCTTTTCTGTATCAAAATGCCATCTTTGCTGTGTTGATCCTGTTGAAGATTCTGACAGTTCACAAATATTTGAGGATTAGAGTTCCTGTTTTCTGTATCAGTTCATCCCCATCAATGAGATGTTAATTTTATAAGGGTGTGAGCTGAGTATTAGAAGAAAGTTAAATATCATGCGATGCAGTTGGATCACTCCAGGCTGTCTCTCGGAAACCCTGATCTTTCCTTTTTGTTTGCTTGGAGTTTAGTAGTAATAATTTAGCGGAGGGTGAGAATGTTATCATTGTAATTCGTATATGGTTTGTTTCACCCCTGTCTACTGGTATTCGTGGTATGAACTTTGACAGTCGAGTCTTGAATGTATTTGAGGAACAGTTGGTACTTGTCTTCCACAAACGTTGTTTGTCTTATTTCTCTTGGTAGCTAATGGCGTTCGAAATTGTTCAGATTGCCATGATGTCTTTCCTCTTGAGGCTTGTTTGTATTTTGTCATTGTCTCTGTAGTATAAACAGTGGCGTCTCTGCATATCTTGTTATCAATCTTATTATAGCTCGAGTAAATATGAATGTTTAGTGATCATTGCTGTTATGATTTTACTAGGCTCTTGTGTTTTTAATCTTTTTTTTACCATTTTTTTTTGTGCAATTTGTGTTTGAATGGCACACAGCCACACACTAAGTAGAGAGATACAATGTTGCACAACCGAATAATTCATTATGTGGATCGAGTTCGACATTGTCGATCCTGATTTGGATTATGTGGATGGTGAATTCATTGTTCGTTTATGAAAATCTAGTTATCCGAAGTGTGTTGAAATTTGAATCCAAGGATACCTCTGCAATTGAAATCACAATGGCTGAAAAATGTAACACAAATATATGCATTTTCGAGTTTCGGCCCTGAAGATTATTAGGAACTACACATGAAATAAAAGGGTTTTCATTACAAAATGGTTTTCCTCATAATATAAGAGCATGAATTCAATTCTTACACGAGGTTACAATGAGCGATATACAATTAACCAAGCTTGGCAAGAACGTCGTTAAGGTTGGATACAGTCTGAGCATAGTATTTCTCTGCTTCTGTACTGCTCTTTTTCTTTGCAGCATAGTCGAGCTGTGAGACAAAGTAAGTCAATTAGCAAAATGGATGGTTGTTTACTCGTTTTCATTGATAATAATAACACGAGAAGTTATAATCGATAGCCAGATCAACCAGTTAAAGACGGTAAGAGCACTCACATTGTTGATACTGTCAAAGAGTTTGCTGGTGAGGTCTTGGAGAGATTTCTTCTCCTCCTTGGGCTTAGATGAGATGACAGTTTTGAGGTCATAGCGAAGGTATTCGGCCCTGAGCCGTAGGTCATTCTGGACAGCCGGCCATGCCTTCTTTTCGATAAACTGCTTCACATTCAGGATTTCTTTGGCTGATTCCTTTGCTCTTTGAGCTGCCTCAGTTGGAGGCAGGGGTTGAAGGTAGAACCTGTCCTTGGTGTAGGGCAAGGTACCGTCTCTTGCTTGGTCCGAGTTCAATGTCCCGGCTGCCCAATACATATCAAGTTAAACGTAGATAGACTTTGAATTTGAACTAAGCAAACCAGTATGTGTCATTCCAAACTTATTACCCTAGTTATTATAATCATACTCTTTCTCGTTTCAATTACATATAAGGTATTTTTTTTTTTTTTTACCTAGCCACTCGATCATGCCTATTTTAATACACAAAAATGATACCAGTATTGTTTTTAACACCATTTATATGCTTCATTTTCTAGCTTTATCCAACATTCGATCAATTGATCATGCCTGTATAGCCTAAAATAAATATATGTTGGTCTAAAGATCGTTACATACTTCATACACAAACTTCTACTCTTATTTTAAATAGTATGTCAAAAATCCAAATTAAGAGCAATGAAACCATAAAATACTCCCTCCTATGATTGGTTTAAGTATGAAATCTTTTTACACGAGTAAAATAGTTAAAGCGTAACCAATAAAAAGGAACGGAGGAAGTAATAAGTTAAAACACTTACGAAGACCCCCGGATGGTGGTGGTGGTGGCCCAACAGGGATAGACTTAGCCTCAGCAAGAACAGCCTTAACAAAGGAGCCAGAAGCAAGTCCAGCAGCAACAAGGCCCAACACAGATCGGCGGCTAGTCTCATTAGTCTCAGCTGACACTTGCTGAGCCCGAATATTCAAGCCCAACTTAGGGACCGCAACTCGGCTTGTAGTCGGCCCACTAAGCCGGCTTGAGCCGCTGATTTGAAGACTACCTTCCAATACAGCTTGAGATGAGCCGCGTAAGCCAGCCATTGAAGCCATTGCTTGAGCCATCTTTTTTTTCTTCTTCTTTTTCTCTCTCTAAGTTAGATAACAATGGTGGTTTAGTTTTGGTGAAAGAAGGAGAAATGTGGAAATATAGATGGTTGATTTTGATGCATTACACCTTATCTGATGTGGGGTCCTAGTTGGATCATATTTGGATATGTGGTTAACCAATTGATGGTCTACATGTGTTTATTTATTTCATTTGTTGGATTGGATTCTTAATTGGGCCGTTCATATTTTGCCACGTGGAAATTGGTTTTTTTTGGAAGTAATTTGCTAACTTAAATATGGATTACAAATTTGTATTTTTTTTAGGGCTACAAATTTGTATCTAGGGCAATTTGATAACAATCTCAACTATTGCTATCTTGTCAAAACAAACTTTAATAATTAGATAAATCGTTTAAAAAAAAATGAAATAAAATAAAGTAATAAACTATTTTACAATATGTAACACAGTAGTATGTACCATTTGATTTAACTTTGTACAATAGAATTTTAAGCATTTGCTCTGTAATTTTTCATTATGTATTTAGTTTATGATTTTCTTTAGTCTAATTTTAATTTGTATAGTCCATACATGAATATGCACTACATGTCTACATACATTAAACATTCAAAGCTTTCAAGTTGGCAGTGTGTAGATGTAGTATTCTTACCAAGAGTGGTGATTTTGCTTTATAAGATGTACAAGTAGTAATTCTTAAACCACGGAGATACATTTAATAGTTTGACTTCAAATTCACAAAATTACACTAATTTTGTAACAAAATAGAGTTGTAATTAGATTTGGATAAACACTCTAATGACTTAAATATATACAACGGGTGTATTGTATACAACATGTTTAGTCATCCTAAATCACATAAAAGTCAACTTTTTTTGTGTGTAAAAAGTGATTTTAAACGATCGAGAACGGCTAATTCTTGTATGAAGTGTACCAAAACTTTTCCTTTTATGCCTATCCAATATGAATTAAACCCATCAATTCATTTATTTGCACATTCTGCAGGGGTCTCCTAGCTTTGTTCTTCAAAGGCCATTCTCACCAAGCTTCTAATTTACCTTAGCTTTCTTTCTTCACATGATTTGACTAGCTTCTCAGTATAAAGTCCATCCTCAAATTAACCCTTTATTCCTCAAGATTAGCATCCCATTATTTCCAATGTATGAATATCTATCATCTTTAATTCATGTGCAACCTCACTTCTTAAAACAAACAACATATTCAGTAAATCCTAAATGAAGCATAAGTTCCCTCTTACACAGATCAACTCTAACATCTCCTTCCCCGGGGTAAGCGTGAAATTTTCGACAGATGATCGACGACGTAATATTCTCATCAACAGCCGATTCATCACCTTCCCAGCAACGCTGAATATATATACCTATATGACACCAACAAGAAACATAAATAAAGAAGCTAAATAAGGAGTATTACAAAGCTTAATGAGATAAACATAAAAGAGTCCCACATTGAAAGATTTCTAAACATTTCCTCAATTTATATATTCGTACAAGCATGTTACTTATCGCTGAGCTTGGTAACGCGAGCTTGTGACCCAAGTGGGAGCACTACTGTGATGGGACAGGTCTTCAGCCAATTGGGTCGGGTCAGTGGTTGGCATAATGCTGGCTCGCCCTATCCAAGTTGAGAGTTGGCCCATGTGGGTTGGGCGAAGGCTCAATCTTCTTGGGCCCTAAAGTGGAGGGGACCGCGTGAGGCTGGTTTCACAGAGCAACGAAAACCTCCCGCTCTTGTCAGTGGAAGGATAACGGGCTTGCGCCTCCTTGGCCCATTAGTACTCACTTGGCTGATCTCCAATCGGACCATCACTTTTTTTTTTCTTTTTTTTTTTTTTTGGCTGCTACAAGGTTTTTTTTTTTGTTTTTGGCTGTTCTCAGACTACTATTGTGTAAGGGTGAATGTATAAAGAATTAAAGATACAAGTATAATGTAACTAGCCATTAGTACTCACTTGGCTGATCTCCAATCGGACCATCACTTTTTTTTTTCTTTTTTTTTTTTTGGCTGCTACAAGTTTTTTTTTTGTTTTTGGCTGTTCTCAGACTACTATTGTGTAAGGGTGAATGTATAAAGAATTAAAGATACAAGTATAATGTAACTAGATGAAGCCCGTGCGATGCACGGATCGATTTTTTTTTTTTTTAAAAAAAATATTCATATTTATGTAATTACATTTATGTGGGTTGGGCGAAGGCTCAATCTTCTTGGGCCCTAAAGTGGAGGGGACCGCGTGAGGCTGGTTTCACAGAGCAACGAAAACCTCCCGCTCTTGTCAGTGGAAGGATAACGGGCTTGCGCCTCCTTGGCCCATTAGTACTCACTTGGCTGATCTCCAATCGGACCATCACTTTTTTTTTTCTTTTTTTTTTTTTTTGGCTGCTACAAGGTTTTTTTTTTGTTTTTGGCTGTTCTCAGACTACTATTGTGTAAGGGTGAATGTATAAAGAATTAAAGATACAAGTATAATGTAACTAGCCATTAGTACTCACTTGGCTGATCTCCAATCGGACCATCACTTTTTTTTTTCTTTTTTTTTTTTTGGCTGCTACAAGTTTTTTTTTTGTTTTTGGCTGTTCTCAGACTACTATTGTGTAAGGGTGAATGTATAAAGAATTAAAGATACAAGTATAATGTAACTAGATGAAGCCCGTGCGATGCACGGATCGATTTTTTTTTTTTTTAAAAAAATATTCATATTTATGTAATTACATTTGTTATTTTATTAGTTGTAAGTAATATATCATTTTCTCCGTATTTGTTTTAAAGTATTAGATAAAATTTCTAATCTCAAAAGATAATATCTCAAAAGGGTTGGGCGAAGGCTCAATCTTCTTGGGCCCTAAAGTGGAGGGGACCGCGTGAGGCTGGTTTCACAGAGCAACGAAAACCTCCCGCTCTTGTCAGTGGAAGGATAACGGGCTTGCGCCTCCTTGGCCCATTAGTACTCACTTGGCTGATCTCCAATCGGACCATCACTTTTTTTTTTCTTTTTTTTTTTTTTGGCTGCTACAAGGTTTTTTTTTTTTGTTTTTGGCTGTTCTCAGACTACTATTGTGTAAGGGTGAATGTATAAAGAATTAAAGATACAAGTATAATGTAACTAGCCATTAGTACTCACTTGGCTGATCTCCAATCGGACCATCACTTTTTTTTTTTTTTTTTTTTTTGGCTGCTACAAGGTTTTTTTTTTTTGTTTTTGGCTGTTCTCAGACTACTATTGTGTAAGGGTGAATGTATAAAGAATTAAAGATACAAGTATAATGTAACTAGATGAAGCCCGTGCGATGCACGGATCGATTTTTTTTTTTTTTTAAAAAAATATTCATATTTATGTAATTACATTTATGTGGGTTGGGCGAAGGCTCAATCTTCTTGGGCCCTAAAGTGGAGGGGACCGCGTGAGGCTGGTTTCACAGAGCAACGAAAACCTCCCGCTCTTGTCAGTGGAAGGATAACGGGCTTGCGCCTCCTTGGCCCATTAGTACTCACTTGGCTGATCTCCAATCGGACCATCACTTTTTTTTTTCTTTTTTTTTTTTTTGGCTGCTACAAGGTTTTTTTTTTTGTTTTTGGCTGTTCTCAGACTACTATTGTGTAAGGGTGAATGTATAAAGAATTAAAGATACAAGTATAATGTAACTAGCCATTAGTACTCACTTGGCTGATCTCCAATCGGACCATCACTTTTTTTTTTCTTTTTTTTTTTTGGCTGCTACAAGGTTTTTTTTTTTGTTTTTGGTTGTTCTCAGACTACTATTGTGTAAGGGTGAATGTATAAAGAATTAAAGATACAAGTATAATGTAACTAGATGAAGCCCGTGCGATGCACGGATCGATTTTTTTTTTTTTTTTAAAAAAAATATTCATATTTATGTAATTACATTTGTTATTTTATTAGTTGTAAGTAATATATCATTTTCTCCGTATTTGTTTTAAAGTATTAGATAAAATTTCTAATCTCAAAAGATAATATCTCAAAAGGGTTGGGCGAAGGCTCAATCTTCTTGGGCCCTAAAGTGGAGGGGACCGCGTGAGGCTGGTTTCACAGAGCAACGAAAACCTCCCGCTCTTGTCAGTGGAAGGATAACGGGCTTGCGCCTCCTTGGCCCATTAGTACTCACTTGGCTGATCTCCAATCGGACCATCACTTTTTTTTTTCTTTTTTTTTTTTTTGGCTGCTACAAGGTTTTTTTTTTTTGTTTTTGGCTGTTCTCAGACTACTATTGTGTAAGGGTGAATGTATAAAGAATTAAAGATACAAGTATAATGTAACTAGCCATTAGTACTCACTTGGCTGATCTCCAATCGGACCATCACTTTTTTTTTTTCTTTTTTTTTTTGGCTGCTACAAGGTTTTTTTTTTTGTTTTTGGCTGTTCTCAGACTACTATTGTGTAAGGGTGAATGTATAAAGAATTAAAGATACAAGTATAATGTAACTAGATGAAGCCCGTGCGATGCACGGATCGATTTTTTTTTTTTTTTAAAAAAATATTCATATTTATGTAATTACATTTGTTATTTTATTAGTTGTAAGTAATATATCATTTTCTCCGTATTTGTTTTAAAGTATTAGATAAAATTTCTAATCTCAAAAGATAATATCTCAAAAGGGTTGGGCGAAGGCTCAATCTTCTTGGGCCCTAAAGTGGAGGGGACCGCGTGAGGCTGGTTTCACAGAGCAACGAAAACCTCCCGCTCTTGTCAGTGGAAGGATAACGGGCTTGCGCCTCCTTGGCCCATTAGTACTCACTTGGCTGATCTCCAATCGGACCATCACTTTTTTTTTTCTTTTTTTTTTTTTTTGGCTGCTACAAGGTTTTTTTTTTTGTTTTTGGCTGTTCTCAGACTACTATTGTGTAAGGGTGAATGTATAAAGAATTAAAGATACAAGTATAATGTAACTAGCCATTAGTACTCACTTGGCTGATCTCCAATCGGACCATCACTTTTTTTTTTCTTTTTTTTTTTTGGCTGCTACAAGGTTTTTTTTTTTGTTTTTGGCTGTTCTCAGACTACTATTGTGTAAGGGTGAATGTATAAAGAATTA